CTAAATAAAAACTAAAATATGGCATGCTGTTTGACTGTTATAATCTCGATGCTGATCCCTCAGGTTGTGCTTTGAACAGCCAAAGGATGGCAGTAAATTAAGCATTTAACAACACCCATGAAACATTTTTTTAAAAATTATTGTAGGTTTTTTTTTAAATTATTATTATTGTCCTCAATTCATCTAATTGTCAATTTTAGTCTTTAAGGCATTTTTATGAAAATATAGCGTGTAAATCTCAGGAAAAATGTAACTTGATTTTAAGCACAGCAGCTCAATAAATTACGTTCATATCATTAAAGAAAGCAGCGGTCCGAGCATGTAGCCCCGCCCCAAACTCATCTGATTGGCCGAGAGCTTCCTCCAAGAATTCTGATTGGCTAACACGCAGGCAGCTTTGCTTAGGCCTATAAATGTAAGTAGTGGGATTTCTCACTTCCAGTAATAAAGACCCATCTCATTCTAAGATTTACTTGTTTGTTTGTTTTTGAGAGCATTCATTTTTACCTTCATTGCAAACCTTGCGCTAAATTGCCCTTTTTTTTTTTTTTTTTTTAACAGACACTAATGCAGAAATGGCCTTGGTTTTGGCGCCCTCTGCTGGGTGACGCTATGTAATTGTTTTAAACAGCAAACATTTATTTTGTTTCGCTTTTTTTATATATATATATATACATATTAAACTATCGGTAAAGGTGTTTTAAAATGTTATAGAACTTTAAAAACGTAAACAATTAAATAAGCTGTATTAAACAGGCTTATCCTCCGCATTATTAGCACATAATATCCGTGTTGAGTTCAGCAGCTGCCGGTGATCGCTGCGGCGCGGATCCGGTCGCCGTGATCGATTTGATCGATTAGAGGTCATTTATGTGTGCTGTAGGCCGCGGCCCGTAAACACGCTCCGTCAGGACGGAACCGGACGTCAGCCGGAGCCCCGTTACCGGAGAGCATGAGACGCGTCTGCTCGTGATGGAGGACTGGAGCCACTGTTTGGATGTGGCCGTGCAGATCGCGCTCAGGGCCGGGCAGGTAACGCACCGCGACACGTTAACCGGCTCATTCTGTTACAAACTAACGCTGGAACACGACAGGATGCGATGTAGCGGCAACTAAAGCTGTTTGATGCTGTTTCGTGTTGACAGACTGTTAATCTACACAGATCCTTACAGCATGATATATCATATCTATTATATATGAGTCAGCACTGATATTTACTCTATTATAGTCCAAACGCGGTCATATTAATAAGGGTCTGAGGTGCACCGGCCTGTTTCATGTTGCCGCTGTAGTAAAGTATCTCTGACGATGCTACATATCTTGCCCAGGATGGACTACAATGTAGCTTGTAGAAACGTATTAGGACAAAGCATATTATTATTATTATTAAAGTGTTGTTAGCACTATGTTTACTATTTATTATGATTTATTATTTTTTTTGTGGTTTATTATATTGATTTTATTAATGCAACTCTTTAAATAATAACAAACACTTTATAAAATGTATACAATGTCTAATAATATAATTCTAATAATATAATATGATAATATCACAGTTTGGACATGCACTATAGTAATTCCATGATTTTCTAGTAATGCTTACACAAGATACTGTGTTCAGTGTTATTTTAGTACTGTTTATCTGCTATTGTATTTTTCCATTAACTTTTTGAATGAGCTTTTTTCATTTTTATTTAAATTTTAGTTTAATATTTTGTCATTTTGTGATGTTATTCTATTATTGTTATTATTATTTAATAATTTCTAGATAGCTTCAATTTATTTGTATTTTAGTTTTGGTAATGTTAGTACATCAAAGCAAACTTATTTTATTTCAGTGGCTAAGGCAATATTTTTCATTTTTGTTTATTCTTTATATTTATTATTATGTTTGTCTTTATTATAGCAACATTACATAAAATATAAAAAGTATAAATGTGTTTTGTCATTTTTATTAGTTTTTTTATATTTCTATGTAGCTTTAATTTATTTTTATTTTAGTTTTAGTAAATTTCAATTAGCTGCTAATTTTTTATTTTATTGTTTAGGTTTCTCATTTAGTATTTATATTTTATATAATTTTTAGTATGTCTGTTTGCCATTTTTGTTCTTTTTTTAACAGCTTTAATTTATTTTTATTTTAGTGTTAGTAATTTTAGTATGTCAGATTAAACTGATTTTATTTTAGTTAGCTGCTAAGGCAAAAGTTCTCATTTTCATTATTTATTTATTTATTTTTAAGTATAATATTATCATCTAATATTTATATTTGATTTTATTTCAGCTTTATCTCATTTAATGGTAATGATTTTTAATAGTTAACAATAACAACACTAGATATTGGACTATGGTACATTGATGTATCGGTGATGGTAATATTTAATGTTCCTAATATATATAAACAATCCCTGTATCACTGTACTAGCACCAGAAAATACCATAGTATTACCATGTGTTAGCGTGGTTAGTGTAAGGAGTGACTGTGCTTTCTCCATCAGGTGGTTCAGTCGGCAGTGAAGCAGGAGAAGCAAGTGAGCAGCAAGAGTACTCCGACAGACCTGGTGACGGAGGCAGACCATCAGGTGGAGGAGCTCATCATCTCCACACTCAGAGAGAAATACCCCTCACACGGGTAAAAAACACACAAATACCCCTCACACAGGTAAAACACACACAAATACCCCTCACACGGGTAAAAAACACACACAAATACCCCTCACACGGGTAAAAAACACACACAAATACCCCTCACACGGGTAAAAACACACACAAATACCCCTCACAAAGGTAAAAACACACACAAATACCCCTCACACGGGTAAAAAAAAAACACACACAAATACCTCTCACACAGGTAAAAAACACACACAAATACCCCTCACACGGGTAAAAACACACACAAATACCCCTCACAAGGGTAAATAAAACCACACACAAATACCCCTCACACGGGTAAAAACGCACACAAATACCCCTCACACGGGTAAAAAAAGGCACACAAATACCCCTCACACAGGTAAAACACACACAAATACCCCTCACACAGGTAAAAACACACACAAATGCCCCTAACACACGCACAAATACCCCTCAAACACACACAAATACCCCTCACACACACAAAAATACCTCACACACACACACACACACCAATACCTCTCACACACACACAAATACCTCTCACACACGCACAAATACCCCTCAAACACACACAAATACCCCTCACACACACACACAAATAGCTCTCACTCACAAACAAATACCTCTCACACACGCACAAATACCCCTCACACAGACACAAATACCTCTTTCACACACACACACAAATACCTCTCACTTACACACAAATACCCCTCGAACACAACTACTCCTCACACACACACAAATACCCCTCAAACACAAATACCTCTCACACACACACACAAATACCCCTCACACGCACACACACACACACACACACACAAATACCTCTCACACACACACACACACACACACACACACACACAAATACCCCTCACACACACACACTCCTCACACACACACAAATATCCCTCAAGCACAAATACCTCACACACAGACACACACACACACACACACAAATACCCCTTTCACACACACACACACAAATACCCCTCACACACACACAAATACCTCTCACAAACACACAAATACTCCTCAAACACAAATACCCCTCACACACACTCAAATACCCCTCACACACACACACATAAATA